ACGTTACTGATGTTAGAACGATTGTGTTGGCTGCTGCGGTGTGCATGCATCAGCTAATATGGTTTCGCGAGCATACTCGTTAGTCACGCGCTCACACTTTTTTCCAAGCGATATAATGTTAATATTGTTCATCTTTTGCATACCTCAGCACACTGTTATGCAGGCAATATCAAAATTCCTTCTACATGAAGCACTTTTCTTGAAGACTGATAATGAAATGATGTGCTTCATTATTAGCTGATGTATTCTTGCATTTCGAACATTTGTTTTGTCTAATGCTTTTGATTTCCACTATTTTGTCGATTAAAACGCAACATCTTACATGGTTGGTTATATTTGCATTAAATAAGAAGATGCATTGTTCAATATACTAGATCTAGATTTGTATGATGCATGGATTAAACTTAATCCTATAAATAATGACTTATCATTTCATGGAAATAGTTTAAAGCTAGTGCGATATTGAATTGACCTCTTCACTGTCGCTTAAAACTATGGCACTGATGAACTTGTACTTTGCAGGGTGTGGTGCGATGGCCAATGCTGTCGCCGACGAGACTTCGGGCTGCGATGGAGAAGAGAAGCCAGCAGGTCCGGCTGATGAAATGGCAGCAGTGGAAGGTGAAGGCGTCTAGTAAAAGCAATCTAGCAACCAAGCGATGTTGCTCCGGCTCGAGTGTGAGGAACCCAATCGTTATTCATGCTTAGCTTATTGCTTTCTTCTTACTGCCTATATTTTAGTAGTAAATCTATCTTCAGCCAAACTTGAAAGGATTTTTTTTTACTTTTTTTTGTTCGCTTTGCTTGAATTTCGTAACTGTCATTGGTTTATGTGATATGCTTCAGATGTACTGTTTCTATGCGCAATGAAGGCTCACTGTAGCTTGTATTGACTTGTTAGAAATTTTCTAACTTGTTGCCTACAGTTGCGTCATCACTGGCAACCCGTTGAATGCAATACTTGCATTATGTCTACACACATTGGTAAGTTATCTAAGTCCTAATGTGTACACAGAAGGTATATGCATGTAAAAACACAAATTTGCAAAATTTGCATCAGCATACATTATACATAACAAATTCTAATTAACAATGCGTAGCGTATCTGAATAGCTGAAATCAACACTAACACAGTTTCTCTTTCTATAAATCAACATATAGATATAAATATGAACCTTAAAATGTTAACTTTCGTGTACGTGATCTATAGGAGACTCGTTCCAGACAATTTGAACGCTGAAAAAAACTAACATAATTCTTGGGATCCGAGTTATTTGTTTCTATGTTTTTGTTCTCAAATATGACTACTATAAATTAGTAATTTTTTCATGACACGCAGAGTCAATTGCGACTGATTCAAATTTTGAATATTTATAAGTTGTTATCTGATATTATAGGTTATAATAGATTATAGTAGGTAATCTGCTTTTTGATCTCCAAGCTCCAGCTAGAAATTTTGTTCAGCTTATCGAAAAAACAATAAGAAAATTGTAAATAAATGTACGCTCTGGTCTTCAACCAAACCTGTATAAGTTGTTATCTGTGAATAAATATTATCAAGACTCTTTCTCATGGTTTGTATTTAGAATCTTTTTAATAGCAAGCTTGGATAGGTCAATAGATGCCTACATTTTTTTCGACCTGACCATCAATACTCAATGGTTGCACGTATTCATAGCTATATACGAGTGCCTCTTTAAAAAAACTAGCTTACCATTGTTCAATGATATGAATACACCAAGCATACTGAAATGTGAGCAAAATCAATGGCATCAGTTGTAGTCATACATGTACGTAATTATGTAATTCGTAAGGCAATCAAACTATCACGCATATCATAATTTTTTTGTGTAAGTAAAGCTTCATACCCATTCCTGAATTACTGGAACATTTTGACTATGCATGCCTTTGTACGATATCATACAAAATGTGTTATTTGTGCATGACTTGTCATTGTATTGAACTTTTGTAGTGGCTTCTGTTGATTACATGTAGTTCGCAACTAAGTTCCATGTCTCTGTGAGTTTTGTGTTGAGTAGCATCTTCATGCATGTAGATTATGCTCGAAATGTTGCATGTTTTTCAGAATTCTTACGTTATCATTTGCCAATTTCTGAAAAATAATAAATTGTTGTTCAAGCCAATACTTATGAGTTACGGTAATCTATTGTGAAACGTCTCAAGACAGAGAAAGGGCGCATCCCTGACAAAATGTGAACTTATCACCTTGATGTTATGTTGCAGTATTCTTTAGAAATAAGGATGATCGGTTTCTGTTAGAACCAGCACATGCGGTAAGAATGGTTGAAGGTTACTAAATAGGCTATTGCTCCAATATCGTACTATTATGATGCTCACTTAGGCGGATCACTTCATAACGGAATCACTTCACTTTTTCAATAACTGTCTTTGAATTATGTGATTTTTTATTTTGAGCCTTTATTGCAGTGACAAAATCATTTAAGTTCATAGCGGAAAGTAAAGTCATGACCATAAATGAATCATCGAAATACAAAAACTTTCATCTAATACAGTACCATGAGGGTCATTCATGTCTTATTGCTCGAGAATCAAATTTGACGTGAAAACAAGTATAAGCGTTTTTTTTCATCATTGTAATAAGTAATCTTCAACTTGGTAAGAAATCATGTTACTCATGTATACTGTCACTAGATGCCAAAAAATGACTGCGTTTAAATGGTATATTGCTTCGTTTGTAATGTTCGCGTCTTTTTATTAGTGTGGAGAACATTTTTCTGTAAAAAGCATTGTATAATATTAAAAAAATGTAAACCTGCTGAAATGAATAAAGATTGAAAACAGTTTCTCCCCACACGTCCGTAATATAGGTGTAGGAAGCGGATCCATCGTCTGCGTGCTTGTTGTCCGTCGTTTCAGGAAGTGACCGGGCAGGCAGCAGCTACGGCATGATGAAAACTATACAGTAAAACTATTTATCATTTATGCATGTTTCTAGATTTTATTATTGAGGCAATGAACTTATGAAGGAACAATTGTTTTATTCTAAATTTAGATGTTATTCAATGTTTTGATTCTATTTATCAATTCCGTGAGAAGTGTCAAGAACTTCAACCAAATCCGCGCAAATCCTTTTTTGGGCAATTCCGTGACATTTGCTAATTTGAGTACCTCTGTTCGGTACCTTAAATTTCCAGTTGGGTAAAAGAGGCTGAGGTTGCCACTTCACAAGGGTAATTTGCCATTTGGGATGTTTTTCTTTTGCTTCTGCATTCTGCCAGCTGCCTAGCCTGCCTTCTGCAGTTTTGGCACCTTACTTACAGTGTGTAGGGCAGTAGGCTAAATGAATTTTTTTTGGAGATGCCGCATACGAAAGCCCTCGCAAAGAGCTTTAAAATGAGGCCAAACTCGTTTATGAAATGTTTCATGGAATTCATGGTAAGAAGTTATTAACAAAAAACTCTCAAAATCGTCCCTTATAGTTATAGGCTTATAACCCCGTTTGGCGGTAGTGCGGTACTTGCGCAAGTTGGCTTGGCTGACCAGTGACCACACTGTCCACAGACCACTTTGTTGAGTTTTTTTCGTGTCATTTCTTATAAGAGCGTTGGAAACTGGTCCATTTAGCCCTTTGACAGTACAGGGTTCAGCTGATGCCCCAGCATTGAAATTGACAACCAGTAAAACGCGGTAAAGGGAACACTTACTTGGTTAAGATGAGGCGCGTCACCGACTGAAGTATTGGCGCCCCTAAAGGGAACAGTGAAAATTCCCACAGATCACTTCCATTGTTGGACCACTAATTCACGTGCATCAACGGTTGAATCCGCAAATCATTTTACGTAGCTCTCTACCGCTCTATAAATTCCACAAATCATTTAACGCAGCTATCTAAAAATTCAAGTTCGATGTTGTGGGGTATTTACAGCAAAAACCAGAAGTGGGCAGTAGCGCGCTACATTTAAGCATTTGTAGCGGTAGCGGTAGCACCCGCTATATATTTAAGTAGCGATACGAGGTTTTGCCGCTACAGCGCTACCGCTACATTTATAGATAAAGCCTTTAGTTAAAGAGTATTACATATTATTTAAAAACCTGCATGATACATACATAATATAAATTATAGAATAAAAATGTACGAAAGATTTCGGTGTAATGTCAACCTCAGCCTGTTACTAGTGTCAACATGTTAGTTGTTACCAGAGGTGGGCAGTAGCAGTAGCGCGCCACATGTAGCGGTAGCGGCGCTACATTTAAGCAATTGCAGCGGTAGCGGTAGCGCCCGCTACATTTAGAGCATGTAGCGGTAGCGGCAGCGGCCGCTACATTTCAAAGTAGCGCTGCCCAGCTCTGGCAAAAACCATGGTTGAACTCATAGGTTGAACTGCAATATTAATTACACCACCGCAAATGTACACACCGCAAAATCAATACATACTTTTTTTGTACAATTATAATTTGAATAGATAGTTTGCCCAAATATTGCAAGTAGCAATAAAAATCGAAACATTTTAAATAATAATTAAGTTATTTCCCACCAAGGTAGTACCATCGTTGAACTAATACATATTAGTTTAACCATGGGTATTACTACATGTACAAAGTTCATCCTAAATAGTACTTGGAGTACTCGCAATCCTAAAAAATACAAAAAGTGTATTTTCCCCCGTGAGAGAATATCGGCTTAGAGATACATGAAAAATCTTTCGAAAAAAAAAAATGGTTTAGGTGAAATTCAGATCAATAGTTGTAGGTTAAACGTATATCTCAGAACACTATTATTATAAATAACAATGTGTGAACTGCGATACTAGAAAAGTCATCTCAACAAAAGCAGCAGGTTTCAGTAAACAGCAAGCGTTATCGCCTCAAGTGATAGTAAACAGCAGTAAATTCCCTGAACTGACCTGGGTATGTCCGACAAAAATACTTCACCTTCAGACGCTGCTTAGCCATACCCACGTCAACACTGCTCGTGTTAGCCTTTACCTAGTCTCTCAAAGTTATCTAAGTTGGTTGCCGATGACCTATTTACTTTTAAATGTGATATGATAGATGCATAACATCTTGAGTCATATGATTATTAAAAATAACTTTCTTACTTGCTTATGAAGCGCATCGATCTTACACTATCAAATTTGAATAAGTCATAACTCGGTGACACGTTATTTCGAGATTTCACATTGATACAGAAACCGTGAATTGTAACTATTGAATCGGCAGAAGTTTTTTTTACTATTTTTGTATACTAAAAAGGGCGATGTCGGCAAACGACTGGTGGAGTAAGTCTGCATTTATTCAGCCCAGATATTTTTTGGCTATATTAACTCAAGATTAAGTGAATATAATGTTGATGAACTATAGTACATGTTGAATGGCGTTACGGCTGACAAAATACAGGAATCTCGAGCATTCGAATGGCATAATAAGAAATTTTTAAGGAAGGCTAAAATGGTACACACATGATTGTAACACTTTTAGGTAGTCACGATTTGATGCGTTAAAAAAACACAAATATCTTTGTTTAATGGAATTATACATGTATGAAGAGTGACACTTAAACAAAAGAATAGTGTACAGAATGATCATAATTCAAAGAAATGCTGCTGCACTCGAAAAGAAGTTCTAGAATTAAATTATATAAGTGGTATGATTTTTCAGACGCAACTCCAGCCAGTGCTTCGGTGGTGGCGGATGATTCAAATCCCGATGCCGCTACAGAGACGGCAAACGATGATTTTTTGGACAAACCCAATTCAACCGAGGCACTTTTACCCCATTCTGGAAACGCCAAACCAGCTGATAAGTTTGACGAAAACCATTTTACAAATACAGCCCTGGAGCCCGAACCAGATACTTCCATCAAACCAGTCGCATCGCTGTCGCCAAGTAAGCCATCAACAACAGATCCTGACCCGGGAGCATTAGGGTTGAGCTCTTCATCTCCAGATGCGGTAGACTCAACCACTCCTCGCTACTCGGTTTCGCGAAATCGAATTCCGTCGTCGTATTCTGCACTGAACAACGGCTTGCTAACTCCTTCTCGAAGCCCCTCGCCTTACCCTTCTAGTTCCCCGCACCACCATCCTCCTAGGGGCCCCTCTTTGGGTAATCCCCATGGCCCTCACATTTCAAATCCCGATAAGATCCCAGAGTGGAGCACGTACCACCACGAACACACCCATGGAAAGGTGGACAGAAACTCGTTCAAAAGGAACATGACCATCGCCAAAGGTTTTTTGGACATCAGTTTGCTGTCAGCCAACTCTAATCAGCTCAAACATCTGCTCAACTTCGGGGACAGGTCGTCGCCTACGTTCTACTTGGCCCAGGCCGGACTAATAACGAGCCTCGTCCTTCAAGTGTGTTGATGCATGTTTTTAAGCCTGAAATATTGAAGGAATTCATTAATATTATACAATGGTGGATTCTGTGAAGCGTTATGCATAACAAAATAAATTTAATGAAATATTTTTACTCATTGATATATCTTCGTTGATGGCATGAATTATTTCTAGAGCTAAGTGAATTTATTCTACAAAAATGTCAACTTGTCTTATAATAATAATAGCGGTTTCAGCATTTAGTAGGCCGTAGGCCTGTCGCCGATTCTTTACATCGCAGAACATTCACAGTATTTTGCGGTCTCGAACTCGCAACTCACTTCTACAATTCTGCTGTGCTTAACCGCCCGGCCTCCTCGCCGATTCTATCAGAAACTAGCGCACAGAGCTGGGATCGAACCCGCGCCTCTCTGCGCCAAGCTTGGTACTCTGAACTGTAACCACTGGGCCACGATGGGATTCGTTACTTCAGTATTGTTATAATGAATTAATGATCAAATGTGAGCCTCCAGTAAGCAGTAAATGCATCGCATAGTTTTGTGCAGAAGTCATCCACCATAATGATTGTCTCTTTTATTATTTTCAGTTATTAACGGGAGTGCTGCTGATTGTGCTCGAACGGTGGAATATCAACAAGCCTCATCACGCTCACTGGAGTCTACGTCTGAACAACACTACCGTGTGCATGGTCTTCTTCACTCTCATCATCAACGTCTTCGTGTCCAGTTTAGGAGTCGATGTGATGATCAATAATGTCCAGGGACAAATTCCACTCGATATCGTTGGGAGAAGCGTGAACGAAACCATGTAATTTATGTTATTTCTCATGGTATGATTTGCGTCACCGTATATGCAGGCAGTGTATTCTTCATATATAGTCTAAATTGTTAAATTCATTCAGCATAAGTCTGGCCATTTAATAAACATTATTGTCTTTGACACGATGATTAGAGGTAGGACATGAAATAACAACCTCGTATGAGTGTCATTCGAATTTTAATTGTAATTATTTGTTGTAGTGATCTGAATCAAAAATTATCTGAAAACTTTAGAGACAAAAATATATTCATTGCGTTTGATATATTATATCAAAAGAAATGAAATCTTAAATGCTAGGTTTGATATTTTTTGATCGAGGACGACGTTTTCAAGCATTGTGCATGCATGGTATAGGCGAGTGACCGGATTCTGTCACAGGAAACTGAGCGCTATCACCGACGTCACCTCCGCCAGATTGCAGCCAGCCGTGGGCTGCTGCACCAAACAGAAGCTCGAACAAACTAACTTCGATTAGTTTCGGTGACATTGTGGAGTCTAGAGCATCCAACAGATAGATACAATCAACGAATAATTTATTGATAAAAAAAAGAAAGTGATACAAAAATACGTATCAAAACTTTTTCGTTCTGCTGTGATCTTTCCTAGCCCTTGAAAATCACTGTTGATAGGAATTAGAATATAAAATTAATGGTTGAAATAAATGAGTAAAGTTAGTTTCTAAAATTTAGCGTCTTCTAAATAGCATAAAATTAAATTTTAGGGAAACAATAACTGCCGAAAGTGTAAAAATAATCTTCCGTTTAATGCAGATTCAATAAATTCTAGTAAATTGAAGGAAGAAATAAAGGTAAATATCCTATTCTGATTATAGATAGTGGACGCATAATGCAGCGTCCTCCATCAATTAATTTAGCTGACAACGCCTCAAGAGGCAGCGACTCTGATAATGACTCTTCTGGAAAGGAAGAAAATGATCAGCATGAAATTCAATGCGTAGAAAGGAGCAAGCGAAATGTAGACTTCGAGAAACGTAGACAATTGAGCATTCATGGTAATATCTTGCGTGAAAATGATGCCCTCGTCGAATTCTCGCGCAAATCAAAATCTGTTATAGGGCACTCGGATACCAGGGATTTTACCTCCCAAGAGAGCGACAGTTTAAATGTTATTGAGTTAAACTCTGGGACAGGAACCTCATCACGCTGCGTTTGGGGTCCTCCAAGACCTTTGAAAGTTCCATCTGGAGAGGAAGAATGCGATGATGGGAGCGCCGAATCCGAGATACCCGAGTACAATCCGGCACCAAAAGGTGATGAAAAAGCACTACAGGAAGGAGCCAAGTCCTCTACTTCTTCGCAGATTCTATGCTATGGGACTGAAGTGTCTTCATCAACGGAATCTGTAGGGGAAATAATTTCTGGAGACTCCATTGATAATCAAATGCATCGAGAGCGTGCCGATGAAAAGCTTGTGAAGAAATCATACGAAAAAATCCAAGAAGAAGAGAAGTCAAATGAAGAAGGGGAGATAGAGAAATCATCAAATCATGCAGATACGACGACAAGCAACTTTGCAAAGGACTCAGAATTTGAAGATGGAGACCTAACCTCAGGCGATGTTTTTTTAGAAGTTGACACAATAGACGAAAATTCGTCACACGAGGGTACGAAAATGGCTAAACTCGAGAACATAGGTAAAGACGTAACAAATGTTACCGAAGTAAACCGAGAAGAGGATAACGCAGAGGTTACGAAAGACGTCATACAGGAAAATTTGCGTATCGCATCGCTGACTTCTGAGAAGCTGGAGACAGAGAGAGTAGAAGCTTTGATTGCAACACCGAACGCGGCAGCAAGAGATGGTGCAACTGAATTTCAGAAAGTATGTAATACAACCAACGTGGGTGCAGGAACTGAAAAGAAACCTTCAGAATTCTCCCTAAAAGATACAAGCGACTCGGAAAATGTTGCGATTTTGTCAAAAGTAGAGAAAAACTCTACGGATGTGGACTTGTTTTCTGAAGCTGAAAGCAAAAAAGGTTTCACAAATGGAGACGAAGTGATTGTGGATAAAGAGGAATCGTCTGACCACAACGAAGTAAAGAGTCTGCAGCAACACGAAGTGAAAGAAGATATCACCTGTGAAGGTAAAACAGAACGGGACAGTGGCAGTGCAAATTTTGAAAGTGAAAGTCAGGCGGACAAAAAAGCAGAATCCCATAAGGTTTGCTCAACGGGCGAACATTCTGACGTAATTCCCCAAAACGTTAGTGAAAGTCAAACGCAAACTCCGGAAACTATCGCAAAAATTGCCCAAACTAAAGAACCTTGTGAAGACCGAAATTCTTCACAGAACCCGGATAGTCCCATGTCCAGTGATAAACTGAGGACAACAGCGTCAAATAAAATGAATGAAACAGAAAAAGTAGAAAAGGCAGACATAAAATCTCAACTCATTGCTACTTTACCTTACAAAGCTGATGTAGATGAGCATGGTCGACCAATTCGAAAGAGTTTGAGCACCGTAGCACGTACGTCAAGTCTCAAGCAGAAAGCGTACGACAAGTTCAGTAACCGGGCTGAGGAAGGAGGAAGTAAAGGAAAAACCCATGACGCCGAAGCCAGTTCAAAAGACCGTAAGGTCTCGAGAGCGGAAAGTTTCACGAAGAAGGCCCTGAAATTAATCTCTACCAAGAAACAGGAAGAGAAGGATGAGAACGACGCCGAGGATTTGAACATTAACGACAAGGCTCATGGAATGCTCTACTTGAGAAAAAAAGTAATTAATTTAATACTTAACTTATGCCTCTAAGCAACGTTCTCCTTGCCAAACATAAAAATTGCAACTCTGAAAATCAATGGTAAACCTGATATTGAGGGTCTGGACACACGGGAGAGATGAACATTAATTAATACATTTAATTTTATTATTATTATATAAAAATAGTTCAATGGTTCATGAAAAGATTTTCTTTTCTTAACTACTCTACAACTATCATACGCATGCTAGTGTTTAAAATACAAGCTAGTTGGACACACCCATGTATTGGGTGTCTCGTATTTTTTGGCTGATACTCGGAATAATTAATTTTTTTTGTATACTTGAGGCAGATATATGGAAGCAGGATGATTGTATTTTGCTACACATGTGTCTGTCATTCAATTTTAACGATAATCAAGTAGAAGGCGTAGTACAAATACATGTTGGTATGTGGTCCATCATTCATTTAAACCATTCACTCGGTGTAATGCGAACAATGATTTCACTTTCTTTTGTATGAACTTACAGCGATGGTTGAGTCCGTGGCGCAAATACTTCTTCGTGCTAGACGGTAGCCAGCTAACCTACTACCGCAGCCCCCAGCACTACAGCAGCCTCACTGGCTGTCAGGGATCACTCGACCTCACGCTCCTCAACGACGTCGTCAAGAAAAAAACTTCGTCTTTCTTCTGGACTTGTTACCCTCTCTTGCTGGAACGGCGGTCGCTCTCGCCATTGCTGCTGGTGAGAAATGCAGGAACAATTAAATTGTGTTCAATGGAGAAAAATCAAATTTTTTTGTGATGAATATGATTTTTGTTCCATGTGAAACTGTCGGACTTATTATTTATAAGGATTAAATTTAAATTGTAATATATGGCTTCGTGGGCTGCAAAGGGCGCGGACAGTGCAGAGGAGCAGCAGCGGTGGCACGAGCTGCTCCAAAGGGCGGTTGGAGCGCGCAAGGCCGTCGGCAGAAAATTCTCCTCAAAGGTCAGCCAAAGATTCATTTTCCCTTTTCAGTTGACTACATTGAAGAATATTTAGGAGTATGATAAGGTTTTTATATCCATTCAGTTTAAATTTATGTTTTTTTTTTCAAGGCCTCATCTTCAACGTCGTCTCCTGACATAGTTGTCAGTACTCTACCGGCTTCATCGAAGAAGAGTAAAAGAAAGAATTCTTTTGGACATAGCTTCTCATTGAGAAGAAAATCTAAAGATAAAATAAAAGAAGAAAGTGATTCAGAAGAGCAGCATGGCCCTTCGAAAAACGACAATGCCAGGCCTGATGGAAATGAATTAGCAGTTAAATTTGACCGGGAAGCTGATGCATCCCGAGAAGAAGACAATGGGCTGGTCAAACCAAAAACGATTCTAAAAGTTGGGATTCCGTTGCGGTCGAGTGAGATAAGCTCAATACGTTTGAAAAAAGTCAACATAGCAGAAATTTGTACCCAAGATGAAGGATCATCATCAAGCTCCAGGACAGAAAAAAATCAGGAACAAAATGCAGAACAAACATTTGGAGTACAACTAAAAAAAGCTAGCTTCAAAGGGAAACGCGATGCGGAAAAAGTGAAGTCAAATGAAAAAGAAAATTTGGATGCCGAAGGTGAACATGACTTCAGAAGCCTGCTCAAGTCCCGTCGTATTTCTACCACGGGGGTCGATAAGAAACTGTACGTGAAGTACGGAAAAGATGAGCAAGAAGAAACAGCAGAACGAACTCCAAGAAAACGCTCCCCGTCCCCGAGCATACCGTTGTCGAAGTCACTTATGGGAGTGATCAACAGGGGCACCGATGAAGATAATTTCATCCTTGATGACAAGAAAGGAAACGAGGTCCAGACGGTAGACGGAGGAACAAGTTCCATTCGGTATGCGAAATCCACCGAGGCGATGGATTCAAGGAGTGGCGAATTGGGTTCACTTAATCATGCAACAACTGGAAAAATTAGGAACAGCGACCCTCAAATTGGGCTTGAAAGCTACAAAAACAGTTCAATGCACTTACCTTTGAAGTTGCAATTCAGCGAAGAAAGGCGAGGGTCTTCAATGCTGGAGACCGTCGAACTCTTACAGGATTCTTCCGTCATCAAAGGTGCCGAAATTGAACACGAGGAGCTGATTAATTCTTCTAATGAAGGCGAGAGACTCGGTCTAAATGCGACAGAAATGGATACAAAAGGTCTAGCAGAACCAAGTCCTTCTATCGAAGATTTACCACGTGGAAAGATTTCCACCCTAACCAACATCATTCTCAGTCCTACTAGGAAGAATTGTCCCCAAGGACTGCTTTTCAAAGCAGAGGATAGTTCTGCTACTGTTCGTGGCTCTGTCTCTCCATTGGTTCTTACTTCAGATGATGTGATGGATAAAGTCGACAGTGACGCCATGCCGGACGTATACTCTGAAGAATGCAAAGACGGGGTTTATGGTACGGATGAACAAAGTTTAACAAAAGACTTGGCGAAAACCAAAGTTTCAGTCAAGGATAACGTCTCAGAATTTTCAGCTCTTAAAGAAATAGGAACTGATGGTTTCAGCTTTGAGAAAAAAGACAAACTTGTTGAGCAAAAGAAAACTGAGGATGTCGGTTATGACGAAAGTACCGAAAGGAAAATGAGTAGTGCAAACTCAGAGAGTCTCGAAAGTGTCCCTCAGTCAACCAGCGATGGAGACTTTAATGAACTTCAGGAATGTGAATTGCGCTACAATTATTTACCGGCCATACCGATTGCGTTCCGAAATTCGGAGCCAGCCCCTTTTTCCGAAATTGTACCAACTGCCTGCTTGGAATCGCGACGCACGTCAGCAACTGAGCTTGTCGTGTCTGCCCGACCAGAATACATACCTCAAATTTCTACAACTCGCTCATCCAGCGTCGAAAGTGGAGAGCCTCTAGTGAGGACAAGTTTCATGGGTGGCCACCAATCATGGGGTTCAGGACCGAACATTTGCATTAGGAACTCGTCAAGTGACACGAACACGTCAAAGGAAAGCTTGACTTCTTCTCCAGCTAATCAGTCTCGTCGCCAGAGCCTCGGCAATGACTTAGCTGTTCCAGAACAAGTTCATGGCGGGCGACACGTGAACGCGGGTTCTACTGCAGAAGCGGTGACGCCTCCTCAGCCCAACAGCAGCAGTGCTGTCACACGTGGAGTGCAGGCGCGGAAAAGGTCTGAGCGTCCAGCTAGCACGAGCAACAGGGAAAGTTTAATTCTGCCTGAGTTCGTTGTGGTGGAGGAAGATCCTGCAGATGTTGCTGAAACTAACTTAACGTACAATTTTAAAGCCTAGCCTGTTTGCTTGAAGTCGAAGGAAGAAAGATTAACGTTCATTCGACAAGATAAAAGTCTCACATGTTAATAAATTGATAAATTTGAGGAAAATGAATACCGATGCGGAGGAACTTGGAGCGACTGATGTTCTTGGCCACGAGGTTACGGAGAAAGTACATGAGCATGGTACATGAGTATAATGTTGTCACGAAACCCGGGTAGGACTACGTACAATGCCTTCTTCTTCTGGAGGACATGGAACGATTGCAACACCGCCTTAGATTTGAGTAAGATTGATGACGGTGCATATATTCAAGCGGTTTAAACCATATGTTGTAGCCCAAATTGTCAAAATTCTTCGCTAAAATCCGGACTTGAACAGACTGCAGATAATGAAAGCTATTTAATTCATGTGAATTGCATATGCATGAAAAAACAGACAAAAGGCTCCTAATGCATTCCTTAAGTCCTTAACTAGTAGTAGTTCGCTTGCATGCAGATCACAAACATCTCTAATTTTCAAATGCCTTTTTAAGTGACATAAGCCTGAAGATGTGCAACAATGAATTTCTCAATTACTCGTTCATGAGACTGTAGGGACTCGCATTCATAACTCGCACTATCATTAGCTAAATTCAATCATTTACTTCAATATTTACTATTATACAATTTTAAAATATTAAATCGAAAATATAATAAATTTTCAAGCATAAACAATATTCGTCTAATTTTGGAATAATAAAAAATTAAGTTAACGACAAAAATACTTTCAAGCATACTTAAAAATACTTTCAAGCACATTCAAATAGGGTCATTAAAGAATTGCGAATTCTATTTTCCTTGCGCCAGCGGGCAACATTAGCCAATCATGCATTAGCTTCATTTGTTTGGTCAGCATCGACGTGTGAACTGCTAGGGATAAGCTGTCAAGTTTATAGTTCTTCTCTAGAATTCAATTCTTGTATATGACGCGTTTAAGAACATACTAGGGAGAAATATGTTTTCATTCAGACTTCAAATGCCTAGCACTACATCGAACCTGGTGGAAGTCTAGTAGCTATTTGAAACTATTGTCAGTTTTGAAAAGTCTCTGTCAAAGGAGCTATTTTTACATTTTAGATATCCTCTGAACATGTCAAAGTACAAAAATCGGCGACAGGTGTCATCAGGCATATTCTTCAGTGCCGACATCATGATGATATGATAAATGTAATTAAATATTTCAAAGTGTAACTGTAAAAACTGAAATACTGCTGCTCTCAATAAGCTTTCGATATTGTTTATGCTATTTTGTCATAATCATGCCTATGCTATGTCATGTCATTATTCTAACGACCATCACCTACACATGTGCTGGTCGGCGCCATCATTATTCAATCCATCAATAAACATATTGAACCCACATATATATGCTTCCTTCTAACCTACATAATACACATTCACTTTGATTAATTAGGAGAGGGACTGCCGTTTGCAACTTCTAAATCCAATAGCAACCCCTTTTGCCACCCTCATTCCTTAAGACTTTAAAATTTTTGAATCCATAGCTGTGTAAATTTATAGAATGTCCTAAAACTCTCCAATATAGAAGGCCATGCCAGATTGAATCCAATTAGCAAGGAAATGTTTCTGGATGAAAGGGAGGGCTATATGCTATACATTACGCACTTTGCTCCTTATGCCTCGTTCTCATATTGCCGGTTAAAGGGCCGGAAGACACCCGGAATTGGTACCGGTTATCAAACCGGTACCGGACACTTGGGGTACCGGTTATCAAACTGGAGATCCGGGAAATGAGATCCGGGAGTTCCTAGAGTTCCTGGAGGGCGTGGCCATAATCCGGCTTGGTCGGAAAAATTATTCAACATGTTGAATAATTTTGCCGGTACGCCCGGAACCATAAAAATCCGGGAGCCAACCTGCTCTTCCGTTGCTCTGTGAGAACTCAACCGGCACGGCCGGGGGACCAGCCTGGGGTACCGGGAGGGGTGAAATCGTCCCAAAAAAATTTTTTTGTGCGAAAGCATGTCACGTCACTTATTCACATTTTCAGCCTATGTGCTGTTTCAACTTTGTATTTTTTTATTTTTTTTTTTTGCAAATGCATTGTCAAATGTTCATATTTAATACTATCTGCTGTTAAAATGATGTACTTTTTCAGATTTTTGTGTAAGTTTTGTTAATTATTAACATTTCTTTCATGTCTGCTGATTAAACTTTGCAAATTTGCATTAGATATACCGGTATGCATGTTTATATATTGTAAATACAATGTAACAACAAATGGGGTGTGATTAATTAAATGAAACATTATCACCATTTTCTTTTTGTAAACATTTTCTGAAATAATTGTCTGAAATAATTTTGTAAACACTTTCTGAAATAATTTTGTTTTAAAGATCAATACAATTTTTTAACTGAAGCTGATGCACATTTTTGCTTTTACTTTCCGAAAAGTTGTCCTTATTCAATAAAGTTCCTTAAACATTTTAATACACCTTTTAACTTATAATACCTGTCCCCATTTACTTTAGATCTGAATATTGTGGAGAAGGTATTAAATTAAATAGGGGAACTTTTCAGTAAACATTGTTGTTGTTTATTTGTTTATTGAGGATGTGGGGTTGTCCCCCATGTCCCTCACGGCTCAACTCAGTAAATATTGAAAGCTTTTCTTGAAAGGGGCGGGCCTAAATTTGCATAACTTACCTGGAATACCGGGAAAAAAGCCGGGCCTACCCTGGTTTTACGGCAGTTCTTACTGCTCAAACGGCTCTACCTACTGCTTTACCGTCTTTTTCCGGGAATTCCGGCGATCTACCTGGAAATCTTGGAGGCATACGGGACTTCCGGCAGGCTTCCGGGAGTACCGGGAATACGTTGACAGCCGGTATTGCAGGATCTCCCGGCTACTGAAGCCGGATCTCCCGGATATCCGGCTCTTCCGGGAAACCTACCGGCTCTAACGGGACAGCTACCTGGAGGGCATTACATATTGAGCCCTGCCCCTTGCATATTACGCCCTGCCCCATATACCGGCTATAAATCCGGCATTTCAACCGGCTTGGCATTTCCGGGACTTCCGGCCCTTTAACCGGCAATGTGTGAGAACGAGGCATTATGCCTCGTTCTCACACTGCCGGTTAAAGGGCCGGAAGACACCCGGAATCGATTCCTGGGGTACCGGTTATCAAACTTGAGATCCGGGAAATGAGATCCGGGAGTTCCTAGAGTTCTCGGAGGGTGTGGTCATAATCCGGCTTGGTCGAAAAAATTATTCAACATGTTGAATAATTTTGCCGGTACGCCAGGAACCATAAAAATCCGGGACCCATCCTGCTCTTCCGATGCTATGTGAGAACTCAACCGGCACGGCCGGGGGACCAGCCTGGGGTACCGGGAGGGGTGAAATCGACCCAAAAAGCCGGAAATTCTGGAAGAGGCCTGGACGTGTCGAAGGGAGGACCCTTCAAATCTTTAGCATATTACGCCCTGCCCCATATACCGGCTATAAATCCGGTATTTCAACCGGTTTGGCATTTCCGGGACTTCCGGCTCTTTAACCGGCATTGTGAGAACGAGGCATTAATCATTTAAACTTTTAAGGTGGGTTAAAGATACTTTAACGTCAACTTTCAGAAACCATTAAAACTATAAACCTCTTCATTCCATGTTGGTTGTCCGATCCTTCGGATCATAAGCCGATTGCCAATTGCTGGTATGGCTGGGACTATGAATCAATTGGTCATTATGCCGGTACAGGTGGCAGGAACTGAATGAATTTGTCCCTATTCTGGTACAGCTGGATGGAACTGTGAATGAATTTGTCCCTATTCTGGTACAGCTGGATGGAACTGTGAATAAATTTGTCGCTATGCCAGTATGCTGATACTGCTGACAAATTATGATGGAGGGATAAATAATACGAGATTGGTTGGTGCAAGACTCATATTAATCACAGAGTCGCGGCCGATATAAATAAGGAACACTTTCTGTACAAAATATTTACAGGGATTATCTCCTTAGCTGCCACTACACCCAGCCGCTCGCTTCACCCCATGTTAACCCTACATGGCACACGCTAAGAGTCACGTTTTAATGCTAAGCCTACGGGTTGCGTGGGTAGCAGGATGGCAACATTGTGCCATATAGGGTTAGCCAACACCGATTAAAACTAAACAATTCAACGTGAATGAAGGAACAATGAAATGGAACTAACTCATTACAACGGTATTACCTGAGATAATTTATATGAAAATGAGAAACATAATTTTTTCATGCAAATTTATGCCAGAGAAAATGTGAACGAAACCGTAATGTTTTGTACGCAACAAACGAGGCAGAAGACATGAATATAGAAGATTTACAACTGGCATTTGCAGCTGAAATAAACGACGCGGGAAAATAAAATTCTCAGGTTATGATCAGGGGCAATACGTTACACCTGCTGAAGTTAACTGCGTATGGACCTTTAATACCGATGAAAAAGTTGACCAAGAGAGAGGTTATCCGGCGTACATGTTACTGTATCGATTGTTGGGTTTGTTCAATAATTTAGTGATATAAACGAAATAATTTGGCTTTCTCATAGAGCTCAGCTAGTGAAGGGAAACTCTACACGTGGCATAGGGACAATTAATGTTGAGAGGTGAGTAAGTGATGCGCCATCTGCATGATATAAACGAGTGCAATATGACGAGTGAGCTTTAGCGCCTCAGGCTATTGTTTATTAAAAAAACTGCGATGGTCAAAACAAGTGGAGCTTGCAGGGTGAAGCGAGCTGGTGAGCGGCGGCCGTAGCCGTGAGAACCAAGACATGTAGAACCTCAATATTCATTTAAGTACGTTAAAAACAAGGAGAAATTAACCAAATCTAAATAACAAAATAGAACGGAGCTAAAAATCATCGTAATTGTACACAATATTACACGAGTTTCGTGCGTTTATCACAAAACCATGAGGCTCTAGCAACCGAATTAAATTAAGTCATATTCAGAAATTAGGTTCATATATCAAAGCATTTTATTACAGCGTTGAGGTCCGCGATCCTGAGGACGCGTAACAGGAACTGTTGGAGCCCCGTTTTGCCCGGACAGCTATTCCCTACAACGACATTACTGTCTGGCTCGTTATCATTAAAGAGCATTCAAAAGAGCACAACAAAACAATAACAACAGAATATGAACGCAACGCGCTAGCAAAAAATCAGCAAGAACTTAAACCAGATTGGAAAACTAAAACGCTCTTCAATGTGGTTCTTCCTTCCACTCAAATAACGTAGAAATTCTACAATCGGGATCTATTCTTTCGCTTCTACGGAACCACCGAAGTTATAAACTATTTATACGACACACAGAAATAGATGAGATAAGCAGTACACATTCCCTACAAACCGCACTATCAATAATTCCAGTATTCGTATAAATGTAATGTATTCGTACTTTAAAATCAAACCTCACTGCCAAGTCATATGGTGATACAAAAAACACGAAGTCAAACTGAAGGAACCAGTGATGGATCTGCTGCAAATGGTGATTAAGAACAACGCCATTTATTTTTGATTAGATGAAATAAAGAGGCAACAAAAACATACAATGACCGCTAGAGATAAAATATAACACGCGAGAAATCTTGCAAGATCATGAAGCTTTGGGAGGAGTCGACAATAGCGTACATCGCACACAAGATAAGAAAATAATGCAGGAACGTACAACGAAACAAGACGATAAGAATATTTCTCTGGACGATCAAACGAAACTCATCTCGGTTAGTCGAGCATCGGTGCTCGGCAGAGGATGATGCTCGTAATCATCACTTGGGTAGGTAGTAATGCTCATTACCAGTACGACTCGGCCACATAAACGATAGGCTTCATTGATATAGATTCTGTGATTCAATTTACGAGCTACTACCCGCTGTTTACATGTCGAGGCCGATGAATATGAAATGAGAGTGAATTTGCACCAGGTTGAGGACTCTGAGAAACCTTCTTCATGACGGCTCTTACTTAATACTAACAACGATAGACGTGCATCATTGCGCTCACTCTATGTTTCATGAGATCCCAAGTGGCAGTTGTGTTTGGATCTTCGCTTAGTGCATATATTTAATTTAGGATTACTCAGTAGTATTTAGATTTGTCGGTTGATTTGCTCTCAAAAATGTCAACAATCAGGAGCGAAAGGTAGGATAAGAAGTGATTTGCCACATCTCGTGCGTCTGCGCGTGGTCTGTGCAAGCGCCGCAAAATTGATCTATATTTTAGAGTGTGGTCAGCACACGCAAGGATAGATTTGTCTCTAAGCTAGTTTTGACACAGAGGGTTTTTAACTATAAAAATAGCCGAACATCGTACGGGCTCAATATCTTAAGAAACTATTAGGTATAATGATGTACTAGATTTCTATGTACACGATCAGACCGTTAATGCTCTCTCATCATATCGTATCAAAGACTTATGGGTCACTGAACTACCAACGACAATTCAATTAATTATTTCAAGAAATACTTTACCCCAATCTAAAACTCAAAAACATAATTTCTGACAGAACAGTAGAACTCTAATTTCGGGATCCAGAAAGTTGGCACGATGTCTATAGTTTGATTCACGGACGACTTCTTTTGGAAAGTGCAGCGTCCGATAGATCACTCCTGCGACGCTCTAACTTGTGCGGGACTACGTCCTTCGGCTGTAGAGGAATCGAGTTGTAGATAATTATGAAATGCGGCAGAATTTGTAAGGAACTTTTCAGAAGAGTAATCGGAGTGATAAGAAGTCAACTTGCATGAACAGCCTGCAGCGAGAGTATATATACGCTTGATGCTCGGACGCAATTCCTGCAGGACGACGAAACCCAATGATAGGACAGAAGATGTGGCATCACATGAATATGGCATCACAGAAATGGAAATAGTCGACAAGAACCAAGTAATTATCGAGACAAAGTTGAAGAGGAAGAAAGGCCGCTCCCAAACAGCGTAAGTAGAAATTTGCCCAAGCATGTTGTTCAGATCGAGCTGGAGTAACGAACTTCAGTGAACGACTGTATCACCATCAATAGATAATTTCTACGCTCAACGCAATAACATTCAAAGTATCACTATCATTACGCAATAGCTAGACTATAGAAGTTATGTATGAGATATCGTATTAGTGGTATCATCCTTAAAAGAGCATCTAATTCCAAAAGTACGTACGCTAATCACTACCAACCGTACACGATGTCGCTCGGGGCCTCAGCGTCGGGTTTCACGCTCAGCACCTTTCAAGGGAATTCTACGTCACGTATTATCTATACAATATTATATCAAAACTCCCTAGCAATCCTAATTGTATAACAAGGAAAGAATAATGTCCTATAGAGTGAACACGCTTAGCTTTGGCTGACTCGTAGCATCCAGAAAAGTCAGGTGACATGCTTGCGAAATATTCGCTTCACAAAAGTATTGAGTCTGAGTATACACCGTATCTACCGAGGAGCTCTCTGTCAAACAATAGATTTTGATTAAATTAATTAATTAAAAACCAACGGAGCGCAAAATTTGTCGATCAGAATAAGTAAAAAACGAGTAAATAGAAGCCAAAAGCTCTCGCGAAAATGTCAGTTAATTATAACAGCTGCACATGTCAGTTACGGCCACAAGCCAAAGCTCCGTCGTATACACAATGATGATTAGTCCAACTATTCTCATTTTTGGAGCTAAAAATGCAGTGGAGTCGGAAATTTGGTTGGTTTGTTCCGTTCGGCTTAGATTTATATCTAACAACAAATCAAAATGAAAGCATTACACCGATGACAAACTGCAAAAGATTGGAAGCGAACCCACGGAGCCTATGTACGAGTGTGAGTGTAAGCTAGAGCACCACAGTTCATTTCTACTAAAATCAAGCGCACATAGAACATATCTACAGGCGACCTATAAAAAATTGCACATGTTTAAGATATGTGGTAACTTCCACAAACCTAATCACGTTCTTAGAAAACATGAGATCGAAATCTCTGACAAGAGATCATCAAAAGCGAGTTAATCAGAAACGGTCACTTGAAACGGAATTTATGCATGAATTCAAAGCAATTGAGAAATAAAATTAAAAGGCAATATCAACGCATCAGTTCTCAACAATCCCAAGCCATGGATGTCTATCGAGATGCAGAATTGTAATAAAAAATATAAACGTTCAATTTGATGGTAAGCGCATTAACTCCATTACACAATCAACTAAAATATTTCCCTGTTTTCTTCTAAGTTACTGACACGTAAACTGGAAACGTCAGTTGCATACATTATGAAGTATGCTGGCGCATTCACACGAGGAACGTTAAGGCAACCTCGTCTCAAGAAGCCATTGATTCCGCAGCTGAAATTTGTTCGAAGTCTCGCACGCATTTCTCGAATTACAGGCTGTAACTTTCCCCTATAGATAAAGAGTGGGATTCTGATAAATTATTTCGACGAATTTCAGCTTCTCACTCATTCTCTAGAAAAAATACTTTCGAAAGAGAGCATTTGCCTCACCCACACTAAGAACGCACCAGTTTAGAAAATTTGTACAGGTTTTTGTGTGGAGCTTCGCGGTAATTGAAGAGAACAATACGACCAGGAAGTGTCCTTTTAATGCATCGTCCGACAGGTCACAGGCGGTCGGATAAAGTACAGAATTCATGAGCATCATCTTGGTAGTAACAGAAATTCATAAAAATTTAAATACAAGCCTCTCCAAGCGCACTGACTTGTAACGATTTTAGAAAACTACGACAATTTCTGGTACACGAGATCTGAGTAGAATGGCAATCGCTTCAGGTAAAGTCATTACATTTAGATCAAGTGATGCCGAGGCCCTGCTAGAGCAGCTTTTGATGCTTACAAATTCTTAAGCCAGCACAGCTTACTTCCATAACTATAATTGCATACAATATCCTCGGTTAACTTGACGAGTACAACGACGAGCTTAGAAGTGTTCTCCTTGATAAACAACGAGTGACTTCTTGGCATGTCCCAACAGCTGACAACAAGGAGTGTTTCATAAGTCATAACTCTCTTACTACGACGTAATAGTTAAATCCTACAAGAACTTTGGTAGCAACGGGGAACTAAAGCATAAAGTGTTAAACCAAAGGAGCCTCTCACAACTCACTCTGGAACTACGTTACCTTGTACACAGAAGACAAGCACTCGTATGGGCACCACTGAGTTACAACTCTTCACTCACTTCTTCAAGTTCAAGCTCCAACGCATGAAAATAAATTGAGGGCTTTCCTTTCTTTAATTAACATCTTTGATGCATGAATGCGTTCATGACGCGTGAATGCAGCTTCGTGACGCGTGAATGCATTCGTGGCGCTCACGTAAACGCTACTTTCTTTTCCTGCAATTGATATGCAACCGAATGAGCCTCTCAATGTCGAGGTTCTAGACGCAGAATAAATGTTTTCTAATTTCCCAAAAAGGATATCGAATTTCTATATTTTGGGACAGTCCACGCAGTCAAAATCAGTAGTCATGAGACCACACTGTCAACTCCAGAGGTCGTGAAGACATGTCGAGATGCAAATGGCAAAATTCATAGAATTTCCTGCTCTTCACTGCAATACTATGGCACTCACAAAACTTCTCTCCAACGAAAAGCCTCTGATTATACTGGAAACATTCATTCTCGATATCATTACACTTCAGTGAAATTCACCAAAACCATTGATATAATTTGCACCATGTTGAAAGTAAAGCTATGTACTAGGCCTATGTTTTATTCGAACAAGGCCAGTATGTCGTGGGCGTCGGTGAGAGGTGCATGGTGCGCGGGCTGCCCTTGAGACGACGCGCCTGAAGAAGGCGGCGTGTTGTAGTCCGGCTGTTCCAGGTACGACAACAGCTCCAGGGGGTCCATGGGAGCGCTGTTGCTGAAAACCTGGAAAAAAGTCGCATCAGCATCAAACTTGTGTTACTCCTCATTCTACTCGGGTGTGTAATTCACAAGAGATTGTATCAAAATTACTCTACGATAAGAAACCTCACTGTTATGATAAATCACTGAGTAATTAAGATAAAAAATTTAGTTACTAAGTGCCAAACACGTGCAAGAATATTGCCCTTTAAATACTAGGATATAAGTCAACCCAATCCAAATATTTCTAGCAGTGCAGGACATGAATATGAAGCCTCACGTCAAGGCTGTCCCGCGCGGTCGAGTCCTCGTCCAGAGGGTCGTAGCTCAGCGTCGGGATGTCTGTCATTTCGTTGCAGCTGTCGACGAAGCTTCCACAGAGTCCGTTGTTGTTGTTCAACGTGTTGCTCGTCGTCGACACAGACGTGCTCGGCGAACATGACGAGGCACACGAAGACGAGGTAGGTGAGGTAGACGAGGTAGAACTGTTGCTGCCACACGTGTTAGCGCCTAGAAAAATCCACACTTCAGAATTTACACATAAAAATTCTCAACCGTGGGCCAGAATTTAGTCCCTGATCTTTCGTAATCCTGCCTCATAGAATATTGACACCAAGATCCTCGTGGAGCGTATCCATGACTGTCGTAGGACAAATCACGTTAGTTAAAATACCAATAATTTTAAGGTAAATAAGAAACCGACAAAAACAGTCGAAATTTGCAAGAACTTAAAATGATGAACATGATTGTGTTCAAATCGGGATGAGTATACATGAATATTGAAACTGAAACGTCCGTCGTTAGTAAATAAAAAAAAATTAAATTAAATTCAATGATGATCGTGGCGTCATGTACCTCACCAGCAGCCTTAGTATGAAGCATCAATGGCAACTGGCAGATAAAGTTATAATAGCATTTGTCTGCTTAAATAGAAATTTCACCAAGAATTTAAAAACAAAGAAAGTTACAAGTAAATTCACTATATCTTCAAGGGAAACGTTACGTTTTCATTGGAACGCTTTAGATTAAGTTATAACATCGCTACTAACTTCTGAAGTCTCGTCTCCATTAAGCAGAGAACCCACCTTGAGGAGGAACGCTGGGCGGGCCGCCAGCCCCACCAGGCGTGTGGGGCGTGTGAGGTGTGTGGGGAGTGTGGGGAAGTCCGCCTCCAACAGTTCCACCGCTCTGTGGGAAATTAAAAATTTGCATAATTAATGGAAACAAATATGAAAGATTAGCTGCACTGCAACTTACTTTAATATTTTAGGTCTGAGAATTCAAGATTCAGGTGACCGAGGCAGTCATCGAGAATCGCCCAGGCGGATGTCAACGACGTCAAAATAGATGAATTAAAAATGAAACTCCTTTCAAAATAGTTATTTTTCAAGGAAATGATAATAACGGTAGAGGACTTAAATTCAACAGAGAAGCATACGTTGGTTCATTAGATTAGTTACAAATTATCCAAAATTAGACTAGGAAAACCCTATAATATACTAGAGCAATTTTGGAATAATGATTGGAAATGTCAGATACCGCACCTGAGGGGTGGATATTGCTGGAAGAGATCCACCACAGGTGGAAGGAAGGGCGCTGGGGGAGGTGGAGCCAGCGTGACTAGCAGTGGAGGACGCTACTGACGAAGAGGTGGATAAGGTCATGGTGGAAGAGGGTGGGGAGGTGGAGGCTGTGAGAGGAGGGGGGCCCATGTGGGGTTGCTGGTTGCTCCCCATGGAGGACATATTCAGGGATTTCTCCATGGACACGAGCGGCTCCATCTTGTTGACGGACTCGCTGAGTTGGGACAGAGGGCCCCCCAGGCCCCCTGAGCTCCCAGACGACCCCATGCCGCTGTACTCGGGGGAGTTGAGGTCGAAATGGGAGGACGAGGCAGAAGAGAGGGGGAGCGAGCTCGACGAGCTCCCCATGCCGCCCATGACAGACATCATCGAGCCGTTATTGATGCCTGCAACAACAGCATGGAATCAGTAATTAATTAATTGCTGTAATGAGACAAATGATAAAGATCCCTGAGAAAAATAATGGAAATAAAAAAGAGTGGGGCTGTTCACGATAGTCGAAGAAGTTAAATTTCGAGCGAGCAATGGAATTATTTTAACAACGATCATGTGAGTACGAGAGGCGCTATTAATGAGTGCAGTGGAATTTTTACATCTACTCGGCTATACGAATCGGTGAAAAACGCTTATAACAAATCCTAGATCGCTAATTGATCTTAACCAGAACAATTCGCTGCAAGGGGTCGTTCACTTACTGTTCATGTCGGGGGGCACGTAAGGGCTCATGGTCTGCCCCATGTCGTAGGTGTGGGTCGTGGGGAGCGTCATGCTGCCTGGGGACATGGCTTTGCTCCAGCGTTTGCTCTCCCCTTCTTCTTCCTTCAGTCCAGCTGGGGTGCCTAGGGTTCAAGGCTATATGATAAAAAGACTATATAATATTGAGGAATTGTGGGGGAACTAATACTGAGGAACTAAAGTTTTGGCTTGTTAATGTAAGATAAATGATCCACTTTAAGATTATACGTTGATATAACTAGCTATTAAACCACACAGATCCACAGATTATTATATATAATCAACTGGTTTCAGCGACAATAAAAAAAGCACGGAGTTACGGCGAAGAAGTGCACTCGTGTGACATCGACTAGCGAGGTGTAGAATCAAAACAAATATTAGTGATCTTTACTTCAGAATAATAAAACATTACGAATTTTTGTTGGGAGATAAGAATTTCCACGTCACGGTAACTAGTAGGCACTCGGTAGCAAGCCTCACCAGGGGCGCTGGAAGACCCGCCCACCACCCGCCAGGACGCGGTAGAGTCCATTGTGACCTCGTCCACTGGGGAGCTCGCTGAGTTCGTGATGATGCCCCATATGTACTGGTCCACCTCCAGGCCTTCCAGCACAGCTGTTTTACTGCGAGTAGAGGAGCAACATGAGCATAATACTACAAATATATTACAAATAAATATAATATAGACAATTGTAATAATTTATTTTGAGTGGATTTGATGTACTGAAAACACGTAACTTGCGCTGTGTTTACTGGCCAAAACATATGCATGCATTCTTGCAGCGTGACTAGAAATTGAAGCCAAAATGGAAATTGATAGAAAATAAGAAAAATAACATCATTTCCAATAGTTTGTTGACCAAACCAGTACAGTGTTACATTTACAACCAATAAAAGCAATAAACGATTGTACTATGAATAAAATAAAATACTTAAGCGAACTAGACAATAGGGAAATTTAAGAAAAACAAATAATGGCATAGTAACATAATAATTAGTAACATTTTACAGAGAAGTTACATGACTCACTTGCAAAGAAAAACAAATAATGTCATAGTAAATAAGTACAATTTTACAGAGAATTTACATGACTCACTTGCACACCGGACACTTCCAGGCACCGCGCTCGCAGTTGAGTTGCAGGTAAGACTCGAGGTCGAAGCACTGAATGTGTTTGCAGTCGTGGCCTCGCGCGGGCAGCTGAATGCGTTTAAATGTGATGGGGCATTTGAGGGATATTTTAATAGCGGTCTGTTCGACGCCATCTTGCTCGGTGGCACCGTTGCTGTTATTCGAGCTGCTGTTCGAGCTGCTAGGCGTCAACTGGTTATTATTGAGGTTGTTGTTGATGTTACTACTATTGTTACCGTTATTGGAATTGCCGGTGTTATTTGTGAGAACGTTAGTTAACTGATTATTATTGTTGCTGGTATTGTTGCTGACATTTGTACTGTTGGCGGTGGTCGAACTGGAGACCACGGAATTAAAGTTACGTTTTATTTTAGTGATACAATGATCGGCGGGCAAGAGGCGCTTCTTTAACAAGTTCTGCAGCACCGACCGCACGCTCGGTCTGTGCACCAGCTGCAGCACGAACAGGTGCGACTGCAACGGAAAAAAATAAATATATATAAAGTATTGTCACTAGTTACTACCTTAAACTTGTAAAAATAATGCCAAATTTTCCGTGGAAAGATCATGGTTAGTAGAAAATGTGAGGAATTTTCAGAAAACAAAAATTTGAAGAAGTGAGCTACGTAAACGTAGGACAATGACAGCCATCATTTGTTAAAAAAAAAATTCAGTTTTAGACTGTATGTATAGGGCATCTTCATTCATGGAAACATGGCAATATTAGTAGACACTAAACAAATCGAAAGATCTACGCCAGTAAAACAATTAATCAAGCATTCAGTCAGTCGAGTAAACAAACTAACACACTTACGCATCGACACTTAGCCCTATTGTGTAGAGATATTACTACCAGAACCATGTCTAGTCACGTCAAACAGAACCATGTCGTCTGTCACGACTAAATACATAACCATGTGTACTATACACCTAGAATTGGCGACACCTAAAATGATGTTTTGATGGAACCTAAAATGATGTATACACACTCTCCAGAATAATGTTTTCAGCACACCTACACTGATGTATTAACTACATCCAGAATTATATATTGACGAAACCCATTATGATTCATTGACGACACCTATAATGATGTACACACAACACCCAGAAGGAAATATTCAGACGGTAAGTAGCATATACTGACACAGCAGCAGGCGGTGACGGTGATCTGGATGGTGTTACGACCAGGCACGCAAACATCTTTAATGTAGAGCGGCTTGTGGGAACTCTTCTGCTCGCCGCGGTCGATGTTCAGGGGAGTCGCGTTCACGGAAGCCTGCACACTGGCCGGCCAGTTGGTGTTCATTTGGCGGTCTTCGTGATGGAAACACTTGAGTTGTAGCTCTAAATCTGGCCTGCAAACGTGGGTCGAGTTACAATAATAGAATACATAGCAAGTTGAACATTGTACGCTGTTACTAAATCTGGCCTGGAAAAGTGAGTCGCGTTAAAACAATAGAATACCTAGCAAGTGGAAAACTGTACGCTAGTAATAGAATAAAATGACAACATGTAAGTAATACAGGAGGATTATGCTTCCACAGGCGACTATACCTACTTAGGAACCATATCACTGTTTCATTTTGCCAGAAATAAAATTGCCACTGAGCTGACACCCCCCGTGATCTGACCTCATGGTGAGCGTCTGGTGCACGGTGGGCTTGAGGTGGAATGCGTGGTTGCTGACGGCGAGGTTGTGCTCGAGGCGGAAGGGTTGCAGCACGACGCCTTCCCGCACCGGGAACGTCAGGCGTAACTCTTCTTCTTCTGCCGGGCGGTTTTTGTTTAGTTGCAAAGAATCGGATTCTCTCACAACGCTACAGTTAAATCAAATAAAACAGTCTCTGGGTTTGAATAACTATTCATCAGGACGTAATTGCACTAAGTTGCGGTGAGTTGCATCACCAGCAAAGATAAACTAAAATTGTTAGCAGTATATAACAATTGGTAAATAATACATTAACTCGGCAGCAAAGGCATCGTTACTAGCCTGATTAAATCTGTAATCTACTTAAAAAACGCGGAATAATTTATAGGCACATACAAATATTGACCGAAATGATGAGCTCAATATCCTGTAAAGACATTAACCTGAATTATGAATACAATATAGACAGTAATACACATAATTAGTTTAATGAGAACTTACTCTGTGAAACCATCGGCTTGACGTCGGCCATTTCTGGTTTGATGTCGGGATTGCAGGAGTTGGCGTAGGGAGGGCTCATGTATGGGGTGAGAGGGGGCGTAGGGTTACCAGGTATGGGGGAATGCTGGTAATTCCCCCCCGTACTGCCAGCCCCAGAACTCCCTCCCCCACCGGGGGCGATGCTCCCACTGCTCCCACTTACGGGACCGGGGCCAAGGCTGCTTGAGGAGTTTACTCTGAAGAAATTAAATAAGTAAGATCAAATTATTCAGAAATGAAGTTTTTAATATTGCAGAGTTAACCATACATATGAATAGGATCCGTTAAGAGTTAATCCTGAATCTGAACGTATCAAAGTTGATTCAGTAAAATTAGTTTGTAATTACAATGGTAATAAAAAACAGCGCACATCCTCCAGATTGAGCAAATAAAAAAATCTCGGTGTGAAGACAGAGAGAGAAAAATGGCTAACTAAAGCCTGCACCACGAATAAAAATATGTGTGACGACTGTGAGAAAAAATTCGTTTGTATTCTAGGACGAAGCTCGGATGAAGGGGCGGATTCATTTTTGAACTGATTGTTCTTACTAATTGATTATAAGCATTGTAACATTTATATTTATATCTTAATTCGAATTGATTAAAGATTTCCTATGAATTGCCAAGAGCTACTCACCGGCTAACAGAAGTCATAGGTCCGTTCATTGTGTTCATGGTAGCTGCTCCGTTCATTGTGTTCATGGGCGTTACTCCGTTCATAGTGTTCATAGCTCCAGGCGAGTTCATACCGCTCATGCCACTCATACCTCCCATGCCACCTGATGTGTTCATCCCGCCACCCATTTGTGAACCCATCATGTTCATGCCGGGTGAGGCAGCCATGCTACCCATGCTGTTCATGGGGCTCATACCGCCCATTCCGCTCATGCCCATTCCTGCCATGTTGTTCATTGGTGACATGCCGTTCATAGCGCCCATGCCACCCATACTCATGCCGTTCATGGGACCCATCATGTCATACTGGGGGCCGTAGCCCCCATACTGATGTTGAGGCCCATAGTATTGGCTCTGGGGGAAAGGTGGGCCCCTGGGGCTCATGCCTGGGGGGCCACGCATCGTGCATTGGGGACCAGAGGGGAATGGTGAGGGGAGAGGCTGCTGGACGGGGTACCCGCCTCCTCTCATGCCACCCAGACTCATTCCCGCCTGTTGGGGAGTGAGGGGAAAGTTATACACAGCGCAGGAGTGGAATGTTACATAGTGCTGTTTAGAGTGATGCACTGCACAGATTTTAACTTAGGAGTATAAGGCAAAATATTTAGTTTTAGCGCAGCTTCCTCCGAAAAGCAGCAGCCAATAGAGTGGATATAATGTAATGAAAATATATTAATTATTGTGCAAAGGTTTGGGAATTTTCCAGTAGCTAAACGAGACTGAAATAAATATGTGGAACAATAATGCTTTGACATACCTGAGGTCCCATTCCTGGGCCCATCTGCGGGCCCATGTTGCCTCCTGGGCCCGGAGACCCGGCAAACTGCTGTGAGGCCGCAGCAGCAGCGGCTGCGGCCCGCTTCTGGGCCATGTACGCCGCAGGGCTTGGGTAAGGACCGGGCCTGCCGCCGGCTCCCATTCCTCCCGGGCCCATAGAACCGGGGCCCATCGAGCCAGGACCCATGGAACCTGGTCCCATGCCTCCAGAAACTGGACCCATTCCTCCCGGACCCATGCCAGGACCCATACTGGAAGGCCCCATTGACCCAGGCATCCCTCGCTGGTACATCATGGAGCTCATGCCTCCATTCTGCGCGGGTGAGGGGCATGATTGGTAAAGATCGAACTAATTCGGTTGGTGAGAATGCGTGTGTACGTCTTATGAGTCAATTTATTTATGAATTAACTCCTTGTTACTACGTTGTTTTCAAGCTAGTTGTGAAAAATTCCAATACAACTTTAACTCAAGCTGAGAAACTAGACGAATAACTCCATTATTGTTGATAATGGCGAAATTTTTTAATAATAAAAACCAAGTAAAAAATTTGATTTATTCATGATTAACTAAACACGATGTGCGGATGTACTCACCGACATGCCCATGCATTTGCCCATGCCTGGCCCCATGCCGTTCATATTCATGCCCATCATGCTGCTGCCGCCGCCTCCCATGGTATTCATCATGTTGTTCATCATGTTATTCATGCCATTCATCGGGTTCATGGAGGGAGGTGCAGCGGAGGGGTTACTGGGGTGCATGGTGGGGGTGTTGGCCCGAGTCATGGAGTAGCCCGGGGACGACCCGTTGCCCACACTAGCGGGCCCGGGCCCGTTGATGCCTCCGCCCGTCATGGTCATCGCCCCCATCTGCACAGAGCAGGGTTCCGTCATCATCTAACCCGTAGCATGGATACGGTGGAGTAGGACAAGCAACAATATTTAGCTGAATTAAGACAACTTACTTATTTAAAGTAAGGTACCGTAACCTTTTGTAAATGTTGTAAAAAAAGAGCGTAATACAATCAATCAAATAAATTTAAGGATAAATTGAATAAGAATGAATATTGTTAGATTGGAGGGACTGAACATCATATAAGTGATGAACAATTGCAATCAGGAATAAAACAAAAAAGAAAAATTCATCCGTACACGAAATATATATGTACACGAAATTCATCCCAATGTACATATATAGCTAATGCAAACTATAACACAATCGTTAAAAGTACTACAACAGACATGGTAGGATGAAAAAAAAAACACAGACGACTCAACACAGACGACCTTCATTAATCAAGTAAGAAAAAATGCAACATTCACCCGATAATAATCAGCACACAAAACCGACATAAATCAAGATCAGAAATATTGTATTACAATAAATTGAAGAACTTAAAGAAATTTCTTCCACACCACGATGAATTATCATGGTCAAAAATCCATTAGTTTCTTGAACGTATTATTTTGGCAAATAAATGAATTCCCGCTGTAAACTCCACGTTAGCTGAGTCCCAAGTTTCGCTAACCCTCTGCTTCACACTTTAGAGTTTAGACAGCGCACATAACTAAACAAGGGTGGTCAGGCTTCAAAATTATATGGGAGAGACTGAGACGTTAATTCTGGTTTCAGACCGTAAGACGCACACAAAACTATACCTAGCTCAATAAATGCTTTAAAAATACCGCGACATTGTCATTACATTAGCCAGGAGTAGTAATAATAAGGTAGGGATGGCATGACCATATAAGGTCATTGACACGAGGGTGCTGCGCAGTCCCAAATGTCAGAAGCCGACGGGGTGCCGCCACAACACCCAACTCTTCCCCTTCTTCCGGACGAGGTGAGCTTTAGGGCCGGGGACTTAGCCGAGGCTCACAGCACAGGGCGCTAACCTCTCATCCATTACGTCTTAATCTATGCTATGATTTAGATTAACACGACTGATTGATCATAACCAGCACGAATAATGTACGTCAAATTATGAATAGATGATAATAAAAATAATATATATTAAAATTAAACAAATTCGCAAGCGTAAGCATGATAATGCATTTTAATTGGAGGTTGATGGCATATGTCGAGTTTCCACGCTGACTGGAGAAGTTTAGATTAAATGTTCGAACATTTTCCCTAGGCAAGCAGTTCATGCAATAGCTTGCAAGGTATGATTGGCGGACCGCAAATTGAACCAAAGAAAACAAATTCAACTTGCCAGTTTTTCTTAGACTAGTAAAGCGAAATAAGCTTTATTTTTTATGAAAAGATTACTCGCCTCATCTCTCAGGCCGACAACATTTGCACGAACCGCTAGTCTCGATGCTTCCCATAAATTGCTGAATAATTTTAGCCTTTTAATGCGCCGTTAATAAATAAATTTCGCTGGAGACAGCGCAGCAATCACAAATTCTTCAGACATGATAACAAGTATTGCAACATTCTCAAACTATGCATTGTCTGGATGTCCATTGATTTTATTTTTGCGATCATTTCTGCTATACTCATAAAGCAGAATTTTCAGCAGTTTCCCAAAAAAATCTCGGGAAATTGAAACCAGCATTTAAGTAACTCTAGGAACTTTGCCTGTAACAACCATCCCAATTTAACGATCGGTCAGTCAATCTCTGGGAGTGGCTTCAGATCGATCATTGACGAAAATTGAAAAAGGTCTTGAGTATCTGGCACGGCCGAAAGTGACCACAAAATATCCTTCCATTTGAGGCGGGCAGATTTACTCTAGAGCTCAGTTCCTGGAGCACCGGACACGAGAGCCAGGGCTCGGAGGGGCGTGCCGACAGCTTTGCGGCAGAAACGAAAGAAATTACGCAGCGCAACGAAGAAGTGAACGACAGAAGACGAAAGAGTGGCAAGGAGCGAACAGAGAAGTGTATACAAATTTCGTCAAATTTCGTTTACGAAACTTTGGTTTTTAGCTAGAGGCGAGTGACCAGATTGTACTTGATGAAATTAAGAATTATAACAGAAAAATTATTTCAGTCATGGACCTGCAGACATTATTTGGCTTCAGCTCTCAATTCTTATTTCGAAATGGATCGGAGCTGTTACAAACATACAATATAAAACGTGCGATAAGTATCATTTTTAAACCCAAGATGACGCTGCTGGTATCATAGATTTCCAAAACCAGATGTAACTGAGAAGAAGCTGTAACCATGAGAAACGCGTCAGCAGAGTTTACTACGGTGAAATTATTTGAGTGTGAGGATCCCTGCTCACTTATCCAGCTTTACCGCGCAGTCGGCAGAAAGAGCAGCGCAGGAATAAAGGAAGAAATGCACTCAGTAAAATTGCCTTGGGGAAACTCGAAGGATACGGAGCGCGTTCAAGCTAACTGTCTGCTTCAAACACGCCAGATTATCGCCAGTTGCCAGAGAATTACGAATAATGTCACGACATTTAAACGAACAAATCATAAGTAGATAGTCACAAAATATGAAGCACTTTAGCTTCAAGATATTTGAACGCAACTGATTGTGCAACAAGAGGAGGAGATTTGTTGGCGTGAATGCGACCTCAGGCTGGGTCGATCAGGGGTTGGCTTGCAAATAAATTCTGCAAGGGGAAGGAGAGGTGAGGGGAAGCTGGGCACAGCAGGGGGAAAAACGCCAGCAAGGGAAGAAAAAATTGCCCTCTGAGGTACAGAGAAAATTCGAGAGCTTCTGGCAATAAAATATTGCCAAAGAGAACTCCAAAGACTGCGAAGGCAGAGGCAGTGAGAAGGCAGAAGATTGAAACTCGACAAGTCTTCTAGAAATGAAATTCTAGCTGAATTTACAAGACTGCCAATGAAATCAAGAGTTAATGTACTGAATATTTTTAATGAAAAAGAGTAAACTTTGCAACGCTACAGGAGGGTAAAAGCTACTCTCGAGGCCCAGGATCGAATTAAGGCCAGCAAGGACACAATAAGCCGCCCGGCAAACACTGTAAACCACCCAACCAGCCCACACGTCCTCACGGCGGCGACCTCGCACAGCCCCAATACATAGCAAATTTAGCGACGCGTTCAGATGGAGTAGGTGCTACGCGATGGTACGACCACATCGTCGTACCAGTTTAGCGACGCGCTGAGATGGGGTATGCAGTACGCACTGGTACTACCACATCGTCGCACCAGTGCAGTGAAGCGTTGAGATGGAGGTGGTACGCATTGGTCCTATTGCATTATTTTGATATCTTGTACCGGTTATGCACAAACGACTGAAATATGGCTCATCAAATGCAGTGGCTCATTGGCTGGCTCATTCAAAATTAAATTGATAGCGACAAGTAATTTCAATGAAATCAGGATTACATATATTTTTGTCGACATTAAAAACGTCACAAGTTTACTTGCGTCGATCGAATGGCAAATGTATGTAAATAAGGTAAAAAGTAAGCAATCCAGCTCGCCACTTAACGCAGAACAGGTCACTGGATTCACAAGCCTCGCGAATGTGAATGCACGGTGAATAACCTCCGTCTTATCCGAACAAGGAATGAGCTTGAAAAACACCAATATTTCCGAATCCTGGAGTAGTAAATTAAATGAATCTTTCGTAAACTTTCTTATAACACAAGCCTCAATAGATGATACTTTTAATTGCGTTTGCAGTGCAGCACTTAAGACACACAGTATGAAAGGATAGTACACATTATGTGGTAGCTTGTATAGGTTACGACAATTCTTTTATTAGATGTGAACTTCATAGCCTGGATCATTGAAAAGCAGCCGTACAGCCACATACATGTATAAGCGAATGAATACGTAGCAGCCGCATGTATCGACAGCCATATAGCCGTAAATGAGGACGGTGTAGACTGGCTGTACGACGAACAACATCGTTGCAGTTCAAGGAATGATGTAAAATCGATGCCCTGTCGTGAGCAGCGGCCAAGCCATGTTTTCACAATCTCACTCATTTAGTTTATGATTATGGAGGATGAATAATACCAATGAGAATACAGAGAACAAAAGAATCTACAATTAAAACCTATCGGCGTAAATTTTCATGGCCGGCTTTAAAAGAAGATTACTCACGATTGACAAACTAAACAGAGAATACGTGGTCTGTTGATCAAATACGTAAAACTCAAATGTTAAATGACGCACCAAATTGATAAGTTTTCAATGAATTTTTACTACACTACAGTTTCACTTTCTTCTGTAACATAAGAAGTGTGAGTAGAAGTGCATGTCAATTAGAAACTAAAGTAGTCTAAGTTATTCGTTTACTAATGGCAAAAAGTTTACTAGGATACGAATAGCAATGACGATGTCTGATAAATCAGCGAACACATATGTAAATTTATCTCAAAATGACCAAATGAGATTACATAGAAAAGAGCACGCCAACAAAGAGGAAACTTGAAAGATATTGTGTGAAGTGAGGGTGGTGTGGAGTGAGGGTGGTGTGAAGTGAGGGTGGTGTGAAGTGAGGGTGGTGTGGAGTGAGGGTGGTGTGGAGTGAGGGTGGTGTGGAGTGAGGGTGGTGTGGAGAGGGCAGAGAGGCGAGGGTTGCCATACTCACACAACAAATATTGACGGGCGCTATCGCCTGTCTATCACCAGACTATCGCGCGAGGATGCAAAGCACAGAGCGTCTCCAGGCTCTGTAGCTGCGGTGCGCGCAGCAACAAATGCTCATATTAATGCTGGGTCGATCTGCTGACCTTTCACATCGTTCGCGCGTGTCGAATCTAATGTTGTTATTTAGGTTCGATGAGCTTATTACGAGCTTTTCTATTAAATAGAGTATACATGTAAATCGATGACAATTTATGGTTGTGATTATAACTGGGCAAGAAAAAAATTAATTTTTAGCAGTGGTAGGTCGGGACGGCGAAGGCATTGATAATTGTATTCAGCGAAACGAGCGTAGAAAATAATTTCTCACAATGAAAAACAGGTGAATAGCCTTGATAAGGTTAATTTCAAATTTCCAGCTATCAATATTCGTTGATCATAAAGCAAGAACAAAGAAGTATGAATAAACGTATCATTGATGATTATAAACTTCACGTATTTTCATTGTACGTAAATTAAACTCCATTAGTTCCAAGCATGACCATATAAAAACTGTGTAAGAAAATAAACAATAGTATAGTACCTAAAGCAAAATTAAGTACTCAGGTGAAGACGAGGTGATAGGAAGCGCCGTCATAGGTAGCGTCGTGATCAATATTGGCGCTTACTCTTCGGTGAGCCAATCGAAGTCACAGCTAATCTGATAGCCAGCTTAATAATACAGGCACGAGCCCCAGCACACCACAACCATGCTTAGCTCGGTCAGCCTTGACATCTTCAATAACAGTAAGATTCCCCCAACACAGCCCAAAACAGCGCCTCGTCGTTTCGACTTTCACTTCGATAATCGCGCATGATGGTCAAAGGGAACCTTGCCGTTTGTAAACAACGATGACAGGCGTAATGAAATATTTATGCGGCGAACAATAAGCAACAACAATAAATTGTTAACAATTGTAACATTACCGACGAATACTAAGCAGTTAATCACTAAAAATACTAGAAGCATAAGACGGACAGAGTCTAGATTCGTTGAAAATAATGCCTTAAAAAATCATTTAGTAAAACGGCGGTTTTTTAAAAGTTTTACTCTAATTTAAGGAAATAATCTATAGCTTAATATAAGCCTCGCTTAAATTACCTTGAGACGAATGAAAATTAAAGACATTAACGAGATAAATAAAAGAGTCAGTCATACCAATCACTTCTACCGTCCACTAATGCAAAAGGTAAAATTAATACTACTTCTTGGAATCGAAACGAATTACTCGATAGATGGTAAAACGTGACCATAAATCAGACGAAGCCGCTCATCGCAGAGCAAGCCAACACAACACAGTTCTCAACAGTAGTCAACACAACACAGTTGTCAACAGTAGCCAACACAACACAGTTCTCAACAGTAGTCAACACAACACAGTTCTCAACAGTAGCCAACACAACACAGTTCTCAACAGTAGTCAACACAACACAGTTCTCAACAGTAGCCAACAACAAGAGGAGGTTGTGATGTGTACGGTCAGTTCACTACGTGGCGGCGGTGACACTTCTATAATCGATTCATTGACACCGCGGCTGGCGCAGGGTGCAACACTGAATGTAATAATTACCGCTAATTTTGAACGTTTCTGCGCAGCATTGCCTAGTTTAGGGTCATGCACCACGTTGAAATTCTACGACCACCCGACACACAAACGTATATGAATGTGCGTGAAACCAAAAGGTATTTTACATGTATAATTCACATATATACCTGCACCTGCATGCGTGTTGCTAAACTCAAGCTGATGCCAATCAAGTGGAAAAAAACGATTACGTACAGAATAGGAGACTAGATATAAAAAAGAATATCTGGGGAAGAAACAAATAGCTTTCTCTCCTAGATCATCTAAAAATAAACACTCAGCTTTAAATGACTAATAATGAGTCTTATGTAGCGTTAGTTATCCAAGACAACACATATCATCCAGCAGTGCCAGATTTAAAAAACTTCAGAATAAAAACTAAACAGAATTAGCGACAGACCATCATTAAACAACATTTGAGCGAAGTTGCTCAAGTCAGAAAACACGTTGATCAAAACGTTGAAAACATCCTACCTCTATGAATGTTGAGCTCTGCCCCCGATTAATTTAACGACTCGCATGGTTCTCACCTGCGTGCCATACTGCTGCTGCTGCTGCTGTTGCTGCTGCTGCTGTTGCTGCATGTCGGCAAGTTTAGGATGCTGTAGCAAGGCTATGCCGGCAGTCGCAAGCGGAGCGCCTGCTGCCACCATCGCCCCTGCATGTGAAGAACCCGGGACTCCCTCCTTCTCCTGCAACCTAACGCATGCAGGCCTTTGCTCTGCACCGAGCGCACCTCGCGCGAATCTGGCGTTTGCGGTCCAACAACCGTGGGCCGAGGTCGAATAAGCGGAAATTGGTGTTGAATAACCAGGGATAGATATTGGACAGCCAGGGTTTGATGTTGAACAGCCAGGGATGGATGTTGAATAGTTGGGTGCTGATGTGTAACAGCTAAGAACGGAAGTCGCCGGATTGAAGTTTGCAGAAGAGGAACAGTTCGTGTATGAGTGAACAGGCGCGCTGGTTGAGGTATAACAGTTACTAGAGTAATAAGTGTCAAGACTAGGACTGGAAGTATAATAGTCACTGGAAATAGGGCATGATGTACTCAAAGCCGGGGGAAAGTTGCCAGGTGAGTTGTAGTTTGAGCTTACCCAACTGTTGCTAGTATTTAAAACACATTCTTTGTTGAAATTTGAAGCAGAATTGCGCGAAGAATCTTCAAAGTTTTGAATTGGGTTGTTATCAGAATAGCATAAGGAAGCGCGTGAATCACATTCAGGCGAGTTAGAATTTTCTTTCAACTTGGAATCGCAAATATCATCTGCACCAGATTGATTGATTGTAGCCGATCTAACTTGTAAGGAGCGTAAGGTGTTCGTGGCAAAACAGTCCGTAAAACGGTTTTCTGTCGAAATTTTTTTCTCAATAGACGTTGTTGGATCACCAGTTGAAAGTCTCTCGTTTACAGACGAACTTAAAGCTGGATTGCTACACTCGTCTATTTTAAGGGCGCAATTTCCAAATATATCAGAACTTGCTGCGGAGTTTGAATTTTCAAGTGAATCTTCTCTCGGCTGACAATCGATTACTCTGTTGTCACTAAAAATATCAACTGCAGAACCACCAGGAAAAATGTGTTTCTGCTGTGCTCCGTGAAGTTCAAACAACTTTTGTAAATTTTGATTTTGGTTTTCTTCTTCTGTAGGCTCCTCTGAGTTGAGTTGGTCGTCCAAGAGGCTGGCGAAATTGTACTGTCGATCTTGAGGCGATAATTTAGGACGAGACGCCTCGCTCGATAGCACACAAGTTACAGAGTTTTGAGCCAGTGGATCTGAGGGCGTCGAGGAGTTGTGAGGGACTGTGGTGACTTGTGTGGAAGTGAGGGAGCTGTGCACGGTTGCTTGGAGAATGGTGGAGTCGTTGGAGTTCAGATCACACGGAAGTCAGACGCGATCACACTTGGATCACAAACTTCAGCTGCTCGCAAGCCTGTAACACAAAGAAAAATCCTTTGTTATCAGAAGCAAAATGACACACATGAATTAATCGATTAATAAGAATATTCAAGACACAGTAACGACGTAATAAAATGCAGGCTTTTATGAGCAAATGACTCACTGTCATCAAACTAAAATAAAATCGTGATAAAAAATTAGTATCACAGATAAAGTCGAATTGTATTAGCCTAGGTGCGTGATAGATCTTGGCGTATCGAATTCACTAGCTATAAAATATTCACACGTCTCGAACAAACTAATCGACCTGCCTCGAACATCCTTGCTATCTTGGATGTAGTCAAACAAGATTATGTTGCTATTGGGAACGAACAACACTTGTTTCTGCAACTGCATTAAAAAAAATAAATTCAAAGTAAATACATTGAAGTTATACAAGTAGAACTGATCTAATGTGCAAGTGACCCAACAAATTTAACCGGAAGTAGAGAAGCCTTAGAAACTCAATGAATCCAGATCAGAAATCGATGATAGCCTCAGCAACCCGAGGTCTTGTCGAACTCCAATCGATTGCTATAGCCTGTAAGTGAAACGTGTTAAAAGCATCTCCGTCCTTGGAAAGAAATAACGAACGCGTGATGTGACTTGATGACGATAACATTGCCCCACTGCCCACGGAGACAAGTGAAACCACTGCGTGCAGGACCTACATTCGTTGTACGTTTCAACATAACATGTTTGACGAAATTCAAATGTTCAGGAGAAATAGCATACCCTTGCCTCGCATTTGCCTCATAAACGCACAGCGTCCTCAGGTTCTGTTAAGATAGAAGTATCATACAGCAACGATTGCAATTTCTAATCTGCTCATGATTAGAAAGTCGGGAAGGAATAGGAGAAGGAGGAATGGCAAGCGAGGCTGGCACAGGTAACGACTGTCTTGCTCAACGCCCGCTGCGCTGACCCGCTCGCTGCACGCCATTGCTCTGAAATGCGTTGCGCGGTTGCGATCACTGCGCGCCGCTACCTTCACCTCTTGCTCACTGTCGAGCGCATTTGGGGTCAAATATACGAGGTCCTTCAGGTGCCTGCCTGCGACGCACCACAATGACACTCTAGAGTTCAGCGAGGCAGCTTGCAGATACGTGAGACCTGTTCGGGTACTGTTGTGCGTTCGTAATATCATAATTTTGTAGTAAAAAATGCACTAGTGAAAATTATCAGCTTAAGTTTATGAATCAAACAAGTTGCTCTAGAAAAGTTTGCGGCAGTAGTTGGATAATAAACAGTCAATGGTGTCGAAGTATGTATCGGGAGGCATGAGAATGGAGGAATAGGGACCTGCAAGACACATTGCATGCAGCAATGACACATATTGACTGCATGTAATACGGCGGTGCAGGGAGTTGGGGGGAGGATGTGCAGGGGCAGTGAGAGAGCAGCAAAGAGAGCTGAATGCCCTCGTCACGGTGACGTCACGCATCCATGCCGCGTTCATTGGCTTAACGGAGCTGAGGAAAATTTTTGGTCTGCGATTGTCCAATGGAGGCGGACATGAGAGCCGGGGCATTCGTCCGCGAAAAAATGACGGTAGCGACGCCCCAAAAAACGGGGAGAAACGGAAAACCGCGAGGGAATATAAGGGTAGGAGAGGGGGTCAGTGAGGGTGGATGTGGGGCGGTGAGGGTGGGGGATTGAAATGCGAGGGAGAGTGCAACGGGGGTGAAGTGCAAGGGGAAATTCAAACGAGGCAAGGTCACAAGTGAGAATTCAAAGTAGAAACAAAATAAAAATTGATGAAGAGCAAAATTCTTGTGACGATGGCGGAGCGTGGGTACATTAAAATGTGTAGCATAAATGGTAGTCGTACTTAGAAAATAAGATTTTTTTACTCTAAACAATAGTACAATAACTGATCAATTAACTCAGTTTTTCAGATACTTTCTTCTACTATTTAAGAGTACGACATAAAGCTCAGTTTAAATATCAGTCATGCATACATGCATAGTGAAAGTATGGGGAACGAATTTTCAATTACACAACGATTCCTTTCATCTCGAAAAAAATGTATAAAATAATTCTGTGCAAATCAGGAGGCAAACAAATGGACGCGACAAGTTCGACTTTGAGTCAAATTTAAGTTTGTTTCGTTTACGCTGAATAGTAACAGAGCGTTTATCTACCTTCAAGGGAGCCAAGAGGAAAACAATTAAATCGCTCGTTGTTCTCGCGCGGCGTCAGCGCAACCGCAGCATGAAAGCGAGCTCAGAGTAACCGAAGGAGCGTTGCGCTCCCACGTAGCAGCTCCGTATACAATCACGCCACCTACAACTGCTTCTTTGCGCGGCGTTACGGAGCACACAACGTGTACGTCTTTCCAGACTGCACACGGACCAGGAGACACACGCTGAACGCACATCTCTCTCTCTCTCTCTGGCCAAAGCGAGCTAACCGCATTCCACCCGTCTGACCTTTGTTCACGCACTCGCTAATCAGATCGACTAAAATGAAGTCAACGACATCGCCAAGTTGAGTTCACGAAAGTTCAAGACTTTCAGGTATCGAAGAGGTATGATTGCCGACCATTGATGAAATACGCCAAGAGCAACAGTAAAGAGTGCAATTGAACACAAACAAGCAGTGACAAGGAGGCTAAGACTTAGCATACCTTCCTGCAAAACGGTTCAAGTGTCTAGCAGGCAGGACTTGAACGCAGCTACCTATCATACAGGTATCTAGGAAAACCCGTTCAAAATCCGTCCTTCACAGGGACAAAAAACATGATTGAACAATTTTCTCCGATATTCGGTTGATGATTGCAACAGGATTGTGATATAAATTGAAAGAAGAAATAAAAATAGCCATGTGAAAAGTACAGATTGTAACAAAGCAAACCCAGACCAAATTTGCCTATGTATGGCAGCATGGGAATGAGTGGCAAAAGTTAAGAGCTATCGAGCAACTCAGTGCGTCCTAGGAGGCTGCACGCTGCCGCGGTAAGGCGTGGCAGTTGTCGTACGCTCGACAACGCCAAAAATTTACTAGTTATTAACAGCATACAATTCCTAATAATGATAATAAATTTGATATTTACTAATTTTTTAAAGTAAATTACTATACAAAAGACCAGCAAATACAATTACGCAGGCAAACAAAGGGCTTCGACTGAACAGGATTTTCTGGATCGTTCGTCTTGTGAAATCTCGCGGGGAAAGAAGGCGGAGCCAAGAGGTCAAATTAAAACAAATATCGAGGCGGTGCAAGAAGGTACACTGAACCGGCTGAGGAGAGGAGCAGCGCTGAGCAGAAATTCTCAGACAAAATGTGGCGGCCCCCCAAAAGGAGGGACGAAAAAATGAGAAAGCACGAGCCTCCTCCACACACCACACCGTCGGAGGCACCAACAGCTTGCCCGTAAATGATCAGGAGGCTGCGGCGACTTTATACAGACAATAGCTGGAACTAAACGATCCATTTCAGTCATATTAATTACTAAAATAACACAATCATATATATGCCAGCCAAATAAAGGCAGAGCTGAGCATAAGTATGATAGCCTGGGTGGTATTTCCATAACTCAACAAAGGAATTAGAATGTTTTATAAACCCAGCGTTTCTTAGAACGGCAAAGAGAAAAATGCACGTTTGATAACTTGATCGAGAATACTATAATCTTTGCACAACATTCTATGTAAAAGAGTTTTATGCTTAGCGGCTTCAGGCAAATTGAAGCTCGGCTGTTAGTAAACAAGGCTTCGAGGAAACTCCACCGACGAGACCCACAACTTGCGGTCATCACAGGGCCATCGTCTACTCTCTTAGTTTCATTTATTAACAACGACAAGACAAATTTGTTCAAGACAAATTTGACGTCCAATCTTAAATAAATGTTTATCACAAGACGAAACATAAGAGCAACAATCGTACGTGATACCAACAAATAAAGTGTTTTCTGGATTAGATCATGGGGTGTGCACTGAGTAGTGTGCAGTCAGTAAGCAGCTCGCTTTTTCATGCAACTGTACTGAACTGTACTGTACTGTAAGCTGCATTACCATTTCCTTCATCAAACGTGAAATTGTGTGAAAGTCAAGGCAGCTTCACAAGTGACCTGCCAAGCGAAAACACCATCAAAGCTCAGCAGAAAACAGCACAGCTTCCTACGTAAATCTGGGGCCAGATGTAGCTCCTCAGCCTCCGCTTAGGTCCAGCAGCCGCGATCGATACGTGAGCCTCAGTCGAGGTTCCTTCGTCCTTCAAGACGCAAGTCGTCGATGATCCTTACGACAAGGGCGTGGTGATGGTCCCTTATGTCCTTCAAAAGACAAGTCGTCGATGACTTTTACGAAAAGCTCGTGGCGGAGGCTTACGACAAGCCGAGGTTATTCAACCGTCGACACAAATGCACTCACATACGATTGCGTTGCTGGTTGGTTCCCGAATCGCTGTTATTTCTACACTGCCATATTTACCTAATTTGTATTGTGTTGGTGATCATATATTCGTATTAGTCTGCACCAGTGTCCAACAAAAACCAATGTGGACTATAGTTAAATGAGCTTACAAAATTAAGTTACGCAATTTCAGAGGAAATTGATCAGCATGAAACAAGCAGAAAAACCTGGTTTCAGATGGTTATGTCTAATATTTGAAAACAATCCGCATTCAATAATGATTATTTAAATAAGACTATATAGGTATAGGTGAGGCGTGGAAATTAACCAAATATTCATTGCAGTAACATACTCAATGATGAACAGTCACTCTTGCTGTCGATCAAGGATCTTAATACCAAATCAACTATAATATACTATAAATAAAAACAACAGAAACAGACGATAAATCAACACAACGGATTCTAAAAAGGAAAACACGATACGATGAAGAAAATGACAGTACAGACGACAAATGAAAACAGTAGAAAACGAGAGGAAGTTAACAACTAATCTAAGTTAGTTGTCGAAAGTTCGTCAAAAAAGGTGTAGTTGAGGAGCGCTACAAGTTTCGTGAAGGCTAGTTAGTGGCAAGACGCGT